TATCTGCACAGACTATATTAACTTACAGCAGAACATAGGTAATTTCATTTCTTTAAAAAAAAAATTTGTGTCTGTGAGTGTTCTATGTGTGTGCAGTGCCCATGGAGGCCAAAAGAGGGCGTCAGATTCTCTGGATCTGGGGTTACAGTTGTTAGCCACCAAGTGGGAACGAGGAACTGAATCCAGATTCTCTGGAAGAGTACCCACTGAGCCATCTCTCCAGTTCCTGATCATTTCTTTTTAGAAACTTTAAACATGGGTATCAACAACAGGCAGTGTAATTGGTTACACTCCAGCAGAGGTCAACAGCTGTTGACCAAAGAAGCCTAAATCAACCCAGCATGTCATCTTAGCAAAGGGAACCTTGGAAGGAAAGGACAGCCTATTTATGTACCAGCTCTGTCAGGACCTGATCTAGCAAAGTTTTTTACAAGGAAAAAAATAATCACAAGCTAACAAGCTAAGCTAGTTCATCCTTTAGAGGAGGTCTTAAATGTTCTAATCACTTGCAAATGCAAAGGTAACTATGAGGTGATAGACATACTATTTAACTTGATTTTGATAATTATTTCATGATGAATATATTTGTTAAAACAGGTTGAATACCTTAAGCCTGATTTTTTAAATATTATTTTTTAATTATGTGTGTGGGTTTGTGCACTTAAGTGCAGGTGTCCACCAAGGCCAGAGCAGCTGCTGGCTGTGAGCTGCCAGACTTGGGTGCTAGGAACCCAATTCAAGTCCTACCAGAGCAGAATGTACTCTTACCTGATGAGCCATCTCTCCAGCCCTAACACATACAATTTTTATTTTTCAATTATACCTGCATACATCTAGAGAAAGAAGATTCAGAGAGTAAACAAAAGTAATTCAAGACTACACAGCTGTGAAGTCAAGAGCTGTCTGTACCCTATTGCTCTAATCAGTGCTGAAAATTTAAAGAGAACTCTTTCAAGGTTAGGAGAAAATTATAGTCCCCTGGAAAAATATGTGACTTTTCCATTTTGCACAATTTAAGAGAATTCACAAATTCCATGAAGCTCATGTAAGTATCAGCAAATTCTTGATTTAATTAAGAATCTCAAATTGACCCATCAGTCCTGTATGGTGGTACATGTCATCAGTCCCAATTAGGAGGTGGAGGCAGGCAGATTTCTATGAGTTTACAGCTTGCCTGGTCTACATAGTAAGCTACAGGCTAGCCAAGGCAATATAGTGAGACCCTGTCTCCCCCCAAAAAGTTGACAGTTCAAGTCTGGCATTGTCCATTGGACTTTCCTGTATATATACACTTTAAAAGTCACAATAAAAATTAATCAATGGCTGCTGTTTTTTATCTAGAAATGAAGGCCTGATGTGCATAATACATTACAGGTTTTCCTATTTGGTGTGCCTGTACAACCATCTCTAAAAGGACTATACATAATTGAATATGTGTGTCAATACAGGTTTATGAATTAAGTATCAACAGTGTCCAAACCCAAAATTGAGATAAAAAATACATATGTGTTCTATCAGTATTGCTGGGACCATGTGTCTTTCACCTAAAATATGTATCTAGGGCTCATTTGTGGCATCATGAAATAGACTTAGGAAGCCAAGACTTTGCAGAATGTGTAGCAGTGGCCAATTTAGAAAGTTTTCATAAACATGGTTGTGTTCAGACTGGAGATCAGGGTGTGGCAATGAGAGACATGGACCCAAACTGCTTATCTCAAAGAAGGAGAACTATTATCCTAAAAAGGTGAGGACAGAGAGGAGAGCAGGCAGAGCCTGATCACAGGCCAGCAGAGCTGAGCAGGTAAGTGAGACTAAGCAAGGTGTGTCATGAAGCATCCAGAATTTTCCATTGAGAGTGTTACAGTAAAATGATACACTCTAAATCATAAACTGCCTGGAAAGTGCAGCCCGAGTGTGATGGTTAATATTGTCAACTTGACAGGTCCTAAGAGACAAGCCTCTAGGCATGCCTTTGTGGGATTATCTAGAATACCCACCCTTATTTCCAGGCCAGGAACAAATGAAGGGAGATGAACACTAGCATCTGTCCCTCTGCTTCCTGACTGTGGATGCAGTGTGAATAACCAACCACCCACTCTTGCCACCATGACATCCCTGCCATGGAATGTATCCCCTTGAACTGTAAGCCAACATAAGCCTTTTCTCCTTTAAGTTGCTTTTGTCAGGATATTTTATCACAGCAACAGGAAAAGTACCACACTGAGTCAGCTGGCTAACCAAGACTAATTAAGTGGTGGAGGATGCCCAGAGCAGTGATAAAGCATTAGAAGAAGAGGTATGTGATCTGGAGCTGTGAGCTTTAGGCAATGAAGTAAGAATTATGTTGCTCAGCATGGGGCTTGGGAAATGGTGGTTTAATGAGTGGAAGATATAAAATGAGAAAATATAACTCAGTTTTGAATGCTGTATTTGAGAGTGTGGTGAGATATGTGACAGGATGTGTCCTAACTACTTGGAGAGAAATGCTGGTCAGATGATCCACAAAACTGGCTAATGGGCAAAGCCCTAGGGTACTGCTGACCCTTCAGCATGGCATGATCACCACTGAGCTCTGATTAAACATCAGGACACCATAGGGGGGTGGAGAAATGGCTCAATGATTAAGAGTGTGTACTGCTCTTGCAGAGGACCGGAGTTCAATTGCCAGCACCTACACTGAATGGCTCAGAATTGCCTGTAACTCCAGCTCCAGAGGATGTGATGCCCTCTTCTGTCTTCCACAGGCAGTGCACTCCAATGTATATATCTATACATAAACATATGTATATGTATCATTAAAAATATAGACTCTTTAAGAAAAAGAAAAAGATGAACCCTAGAACTGTAATGAAAGTCTACCTGCCAAAAAATTCTCTGGACAGTAATGTGTATGGACAGTTTCTAAGAACTGCTGGGTTTGACTGGAGGATCTTCCACAAAATGGCAGTTCAGCAGCTAAAATTTACATTTGCTATTCTATATCTTTTGCATTCTGTAAATGGTATATATTACTATGTGTTTTATTTTCAGAAGACAATACTACTTTTTAAAGACCAGGGATGATGTGGAGATTGGGAGGTTTTATCAGATTTCTTATGACAGTGCTTCTTGGAACCTGTGATACATTTCTTCACCAACAGGAGAAGCTCTACTGACTGTCTACTTTCAAATCTCTCATGAAAGCCGTCTGCTGTCTCTTCACACTCAACTACCATCCCACACTGAGACTTGCTTCTCTTACTTGCTTAGAGTAACAACTAGAGCAGTGCTGCGGAACACGCCTTGGGGAAGTCCTATCCTGCACACACACACACACACACACACACACACACACACACACACCTACCTCTAGGAGCCTCTTCACAACTACGAACATTTGATTTATCTGTTGGCCACAGAGTCACTTGTTCCTAATGAACAGTAACTCCCTAGCCCAGTTACAAGGTCTGAAATGAATGAACAGCATGAATGGGAAGCATCAACTCATGTTCCCAGCTAGACTTCATTGAAGACAGGTAAAGGTGGGCACATGTATAGCATCTGGCAGTTACTATGTTTTCTTTTCCTCTTGAAGTGGTATATTGAAGGTGTATGTCAAAGCCCCAACATTTCTTTGTCAAGATATATCATATTGCCTTTGTCCATTTTCTGTTGTTCTAATAGCAAAGCAAAATGGGTAATTTGTAAAGGAATAAATTTAGATTATGGTCCTAGAGGTTGAGAAATACAAGGACAGGGTGCTGGCATCTTCTTGGGTAAAAGTCTCCTGGGCAGAAGGACAAGCTGTCCCATGCTCAGGAAAGAGGCCACAAAGCCAAATTTGCTTTCACAACTCATTCTCAGGATTAGTCCAGTCCTTCAGATTCATCAAGAAAAGCTTTGGTCCCTCTTAATAGATTTATCGCCTCTTAAATGCCCTGCCTCCCAACATCTCCAGCACTGCAAATTCCATTGAGAGTCAATGTGGAATGACAGTATTCAAGCTATAAGCCTACATGATTTTCAAATTTTCAACAATATCACACAAATTTCAAGTGTATGTGGTTTGTGTACCTACTTGGTATGGGCAAGCACATCTTCTCCTTCCACTGTCTTCCTGGATAGCCCTGTGCCACCATGACTGTTCGGGTTAGGACATGTACGGTTCCTACTGGCTCTTATGCAGTTTCCCCCCGAAGGCTCTTC